CGCAGCCCCCTGGCGTCCGTGCTTGGGGGCGCCGTCGTATCTGCTGTCGTGTCGAAGCCCTGACCTGCACCCCGGCTCCGTGTCCCCCCGAGGGGGTCGTGCTGGGCAGTGGCCTTGCCAGCTTCCTGGCCGCAAGGGCTCAGTGCAGACTTGTCCGGCAAAGGGGTCCTGGCCCAAATTCAAAGTCGGACCCTGCGGGAGAGGCCACCCAGGAACCGGCTCCACCACTCAGGGACAGCAGAGTGACAGCACCCCCTGGGGCGGCCCCGCCAGAGTGGGTGGGGGGACCCTGCCCAGTCCCGCTACTTACTGTGAGGGACATCACCAGGCAGCCGGGGCACGTCCCGGGGAGCCGCTTCATGGGCCGCGGGGTGACCGTGGAGAGGAGAGGGCCCGCCCTTCCCCAGCGGGCCCTGGGCCCTTTTTGTCCTGAGGGGCTTCCCTGTCGCTTGGCCCTGCAGCCCGGGCTGGGTTTTACCCGTCAGAACCGTGGACGTGGGATCAGAACCGTGGACGTGGGATCAGAGACGGGGACCCTGCTCTCCTTGACGGCCCGTCCTCCCCTCCCCCCACCGCCGAGGGCCACGGAGGAGTCAGCCCGGAGGGGCCGGCGCACCTGCAGACCACAGGCTTTCCACTGAGTCACCCCGGGGGCGGAGCCCTGCCAAGGTGCAGACACAGGCCCCAGCCTGCCGCCCCGGGGGCGGGACAGGATGTTTCTGAAATAACTGCCCATCGGACACATCCTCAAAGCCTCGGGCACCGGGGGCAGGGGGCCACTTCCCCGGCGTGCCCACCAGCCTACACACACACACACACACACACACACACACAGGGCTCAGCGCTTCCCCAGCGGGTGTGGGCACACCAGCTCTGCCTGGTCCTCCTCGCCCTGGCTGTGCCCACCCGCCGGCCGGACCGTCCCGCTGGGCTCTGATGGGAGCGCAGACGGGTGACCGGCACTCCGCGCGCGCAGCCGGACAGCACCGCGCCGGGAGCCGGTCCCGGGTCTGTGTTTTACTGTCTGCGACCCCCGATACTCGATATGACTTCACAGTAGTAGTTTCAAGTAAAATCTCTGCTCTCAGCTTAATAGTTTTGGGAAAGTTCAAGAGAAACCTGAAAAAAAAAAAAAAAAGATCGCACTCTGAGTCGATGGGAAAAAACGACAAGCTAATTTTTTAACAAGTACAGAACTGAATGTTTTTGGATTATCAAAGGGAAAGCAACTTTTTTTAAAATCCGTACGTGAGGACAGGCTCTTAAAGGAAGGGAGGGGGAGGGGGAGAGAAACATGCACGGGGTGCCTCTGGCACGTCCAGACTGGGGTTCGAACCCGCGACCTTCCCGTTGGCGGGGCGGCGCTCCCACCAACTGGGCCGCACCGGCCAGGGTGAGGAAGTTACCGCTCCAGACTCTGACGTTGCCGAGGACGACAGGCGGGACGACGTGAAGGCGTGAGAGTCAGAACAAGGACACACCGCTGGGAGCGAGGCCCGGGAGAAGATCTGCACCCAGGGGCCCGCGGAGCGCCCTGAGGTCACCGCAGAGGCCTGGGGGCGGGATGCAAGGGCGGGACAGGAGGGCGCAGGCCCCGCAGGGGAGGTGAACGGGCAGAGACCCCCATCGAGTTTCCACGGGAGGAGCGCAGGTTTAAACAGAGGTGCCCTCTCACGGCCTCCCCTACGAAAGCAGAAAGGACTGGCCTTGCCGGAGGACATGGGCAGTGATGCTATGGAGCCCAGGCCCCCGGACGACGCCACACGGTCGGTCACTCAGCCCTGAGCGCGTCTGGCCTTCAACCCGCACGAGGGACCGCCCCCCCCCACGAAAACCACGCCCAAGAAGGCAAACAGGGGTCCAGAGTGCGGTTACTGCAAACGTCTGCAACAGCAGAAACACTGGACAGAACCCGAATGTCCAAAATCGAGGAATTAGAAAGTTAAGCCGTCCCCAAAAATGGGAGGTGGCCCAGCCTTCACCTCCTAACCAATCACAAGTGCGACTGACTGGACCTGGCGGTGTGCAAAACAGAACAGGACAGAACAGAACAGAACGATCTCGTGGGGAGTCTCTGAAACAGAATGTGAAAGCACAGAAAATCCCCAGAACGGAGAGGTGGTAAAATGAGCTCCCCCTTCTGAAAGGCCCGTGCCGGTCGGCAGTGAGTGGGTTCCCCGGGTCCCCAGGACCGCCAGGGCTCCCTCGTGCCTCGCTCTGGGGTGTGGCTGGCCCGCGTTCATGACGGAGAAGGCGCGTGTGGTTCTCGGCCCTTCCCCCAAGGTTCAGATGGCTTGCACGGGACACGGAAATCGGGGGGGGGGCACGCTGCAGGAGCTCGTGAAGGGGCACAAGTGAACCCCGCTGCTGAGAGCACGCCAGTTCAAGGCAACACCCACTGCTCAGGGACCGCCTGCGCCCCAGGCCCGTGCCCGTCACTGGGGCGGACAGGGAGTGAGCGGGCCCCTGCCCACTGTGCCCTGTGGACCGGCCAGCAGGTGGCCAGGCCCCTCAGGGACCTCCTCCTCCTGTGGGGAGCAGGCTGGTGCGGCGGGCCTGGGTCACCAAACCGGGTGGGCAGCCAGGTTCGTGGGCCCGGCCTTTGCCGCTCCCCGCCTGTCCGGACTCAGCGAGAAAGGCCCCCATGTACTCAGGGCCACCGACTTCCCTTGGGTGCGAGGCCACAGCCCAGGAAGCAAGAGTCTCTGCATTTCTCACAAACAACCTAGTTCCACTCGCCAGCCCCACCCATGCCCCCTCCCCCGGCCACTCACCCCATCTCCTCACCTGGTGTTTCCCCGAGGTTTCTCTCTTGATTTCAGAGCCTGGGCTCCGGGTGCCACAGACACAGGGTGCTGGGGGGGGGGGCATCCGTCCAGGCCCTCCGCAGGGGAAGGAGGCTCAGCCCCTCGGCCACGGGGTGTGGGTGCCACTCGCCAGCACCCAGGGAGTCAGGCATTAGGACTTCTCTGAATCTCCAGCAGCCCCTCGGGTGTCTGCCCTCAGGGGTCCGGGGGTCTTTGGGGGGGACCCATGCCTGGGGCTGGGGTGCCCCCTCAGCCTGGGAGAGGACCAGCCCCCTGGGGTTGCTGTGCACCGGAGGGACCTCCAGCTGGAAGCCTTCCGTCCCAGGGTGCCCAGGTGAGGACAGAGCTCTTAAGACTCTCGGGGGTGCCTTGCTTGGAATCATAAATAAATGCCTTCATCGGCCTCCGGCTGATCAACGCCAAACCCGACTGGCACACAGAGGCGTCTCTGGGGCCCCGGCCTCAGGGGACCGGGCGACACCCACGGGCTCCCCAGCAGAACGCCAGGCCCGCCCTCAGCTCCTCTCTGCCGGGACCACTTCTCTCTAGAGTGGACCCTCCCCCTGCCGTCCACCGCCAGACCTCCCTGCCCCCGACACGAGTGATGGGGCCCACGGCGGGTCCCCCGGCCCGAGCCTGTCCCCGTCCAGCCCCGCCAAAGGTGGCGTGTGTCCTACGCGATGATGGCGGGGCTCCTCGCCACCTACAGAAGGAAATGCAAGCCTGCCACCTGCTTCCTCCCCTCACGCCCCACGCACTGCCCCCCCCCCAGTATGGTCACCCTGGGCTCAGTGACCGCTGCTCCCCCTCGGCTCAGGCTCAGCTGCTCCCCGGACCCGCCCGGGCGGCACCTCCGGCACCCCTCCCTGTCCAGTGCCCCCCTCCCGCGGGAGGACATTGTCTCCGGCGTCTCCGCAGTGTGACTCTGCTGCGGAGGGGGCGGGCACAAGGGGACACCACTGGGCTGCACATGTCTGTGCCTGGCCTGGACCGTGAACCTCGAAGGCCAAGGCCGCCTCCCTTGCAGTGCCAGGGACGGCGCCTGACACTGTTGGTGACTCAGGTAAACATGCTGGTCCTTCCCCCGAGGTGTGACACCACATGGCCCCGGGGGTTGTCACTTACCCCTGGTGCCGGCAGGGTGGGCCCTGGGCTCCGTCCGGCGCAGCCTCTCACAGTGGGGAGGTCGGCCTCACCAGCATCGCCCAGAATCCCGCTGCGCCCCACCTTCTGGAGACGGCGCAGTGTCCCTCGCCACCATCGCCTCCTGGAGCCCACCACCCCCAGGGCATCTCCCCCCACCCCGATTCCCCTCCCTCCTGTGCGCTCCTGACTCCTGATTTGGGACCGCCGCCCCGGGCCACACTGGGTGCCGCCTGAGCTGTGCTGAGCTTCCCTCTGTATCTGGCTTAGGAGGCAGGTTCTGCCGAGTGGAGGGAGGTGGGGAAGAGCTTGGATTTGACCCCCCCGCCCTGCTCCTTCGTCTGGGGAACGCCACCCCCCCCCGCACCCCCCTCAGCCGGAACTCCCCCACACGGCTTCCCGAGAACCTGATTAGGTGGGGAAAGCGACTCTTTGTGGTCAGACCTTCAGCCCAGTGTCCCAGGACGCTCACGCCCAGCGGAGAGCCCTGGTGGCCGGAGGCAGGGCCCCAGGGGCAGGCTTCCCACGCACCCACCGGCCCGGCCCGGCCCGGGGCGGTGCAGGCGGGCAGCAGAACTTCTTCCGGGAGTGCAGGAGGGTGGGCTCGGGGCCCTACTGCCCAGAGGAAACCCCCCTTCGGGCCTCCCCCTCCCCTCTGAAACCAGAGAACACTGGGGCCCACAGCCCGGGGCGGCAGGGAGGGGGCGGAGCACAGGGCTGCAGGGCACTCACACCTCGGCCCAGCCTCCGGCTGCCCCCAGCGGGAGGCCAGGCGGGCCTCCGGGCAGGGGGGGCTTTTCCTCCAGGGAATGGGGTCCTCTGCCTCGTTCCTTTCCCCTCCTTTCCCCTGTGCAACCGCGAGTCGCAGGCCACCCTCCTGCGCCAGGGAAGCAGCCCCTCCCCCCACTCTCCTCCCCTCCCCCACCTTCCTGCCCACCCATCCCCTGGGCCCGGGTTGCAGGAAGGGAGGTGCTGGGCACCCGCCTGCAGAGCCGCTGCCGCCACCTGTGCCCGCGCTGCGTCGTCGGTGCGCCCAGGCTCCGGCCCGCCATGCCCCCCACCCAGCCCTGGAGCCCCAGCCCGGAGGCGGCGTCCTGGGACTACTCGGGGTCCGGGTCCGGCGCCCTGGAGGAGGAGCTGGAGCTGTGTGCGTCCTGGGAGCTGCCCTACGCCCGCGTCTTCGTCCCCACGCTCTACCTGGCCGCTTTCGCCGTCGGCCTGCTGGGCAACGGCCTGGTGCTGCGGCTGCTGGCCCGGCGGCGCGGCCCGCGGCGTCTGGCGGACACCTTCGTGCTGCACCTGGCAGCCGCCGACCTGGGTCTGGTGCTGACGCTCCCGCTATGGGCCACGGCGGCGGCATGGGGCGGCCGCTGGCCCTTCGGCCGCGCGCTGTGCAAGCTGAGCGGCTTCGCACTGGCCGCCTCGCGCTGCGCAGGCGCGCTGCTGCTGGCCGGCCTGGCCGCGGACCGCTACCTGGCCGTAGCCCGGCCGCCCAGAGCGCGCCCGCTGCGCTCCCCACGGTGCGCGCGCACCCTGTGCCTGGGCGCCTGGGCCGCGGCGCTGCTGGTCGGCTTGCCCGCCCTGGTCTCCCGCGACCTGCAGCCGCGGCCCGAAGGCCCGGGCAGCCAGTGCGGGGAGCTGCCCTCGGACTCCCTCCAGGCCCTCACGCTGCTGCTGCTGCTGCTCACCTGCGCGCTGCCCCTGGGCGCCACCTTCTTCTGCTACTGCCGCCTGGCGCACCGTCTTCGCCAGCCGCGGCCCCTGGGCCGCGCCCCTGCCACCCCGCTGCGCATCATCTGCGCCGTCGAGGGCGCCTTCGTGGGCTCCTGGCTGCCCTTCAGCGCCCTGCGCGTCGTCCTCCACCTGGCGCACCTCGGGGCGGTGCCCCTGCCCTGCCGCCTGCTGTGGGCGCTGCGCTGGGGCCTCACCATCGCCACTTGCCTGGCCTTCGGCCACAGCTGCGCCAACCCGCTCATCTACCTGCTGCTGGACCGCTCCTTCCGAGTCCGGGCCTGGCGCCTGGCGCACGGGCGCAGCCCGGGGACTTCGAGCTCCGGGGACCCGGCCGGAAGCTGGGGACAGGCGCACACGGACAGCCCCGCCGAGGCGGGTCCAGCCTGAGGGCAGCCCGGGGAGGCGGCTGGATCCCCCAGACCAGACGCATCTCCCCTGCCGGCAGCGCGCCGCCCGGCCAGCACCAGGGACTCCTCCGCCGTCGCCCTCCCCGACCTCGGGGCCCCAGGAGCTCCCCCAGCCAGGCGGCAGGGCGGCGGTCTCTCAGCCCAGTGGCCGCCTGGGCCGACTCCCTCTAGGCTGCGCCACCAGCAGACCGCAGCCAGGACGCCCAGGGCCCACCAGGTCCAGGAGAGGGGAGTGGGCTTCTTCTCTGCCCTCAGCAGCAGCAGCAGCAGCACCAGCCGCAACCTCCACCTCAGACCCGAAGCTGCTGTCTCCAGCCATGGTGCCTGCAGAGCCCCCGCGTCCTGAGAAACACCTTCTCCGCGTCAGACCACGGGCCTCTGCCTCTCCAGAAAGCTCCAGGGACCGTGGGAACAGGCCGCCCTCCTGCGTGTCACCCTCGCAGACCTCGCCGTGTGGGTTAGTCACGTCAGCTCAGGTTTTCAGTTTCAGAGTTCACCAAAGCCCTGGGAACCAGCCCCGGCGCGAGCTGCCTGGTGAATCCACCCGGCGACTTCCCCGAAGGGCTGCCCTGGGTGGACACCCTCGCCCCGCTCCGCGGAGCTCACCTGGCAGCCGCCGGGGCCCTTCCCTGGGGTGGGGGAACCGGGGATCCCTCACTCAGCAGACGGTCAGGTCCTCTGTCACACGGCCGGGGACCCCGGAATGTTCTGTGCGGGTTCCCCTTTCTCAATAAACGCTGCTGCTGGCCCGAGCACGACCCGGGGTCCTTCCTCACGCGCGCGTGGTTGTGAGATGCGTGTCAGGTGGTGACTGAGCCCAGGGCAGACGGAACTCCACCAGGCGGCCGAGGCCGACCTCGGGGTGGCCGGGGCTGGGGCGGCCACGGACGGGTTCTCCTCATGAGTTTACAGAGCGCGTCCCGTGTCGTAGGTGACGGAGAGGTCAAAGGTGGAAGGGCCGCTGGCTGCCAGGGGCCCCTTCAAAGAGGACTCGTGTCTCTTGTGATTTTTGGCTACACACAGGGCCTTTCGGGGGTGCTTTCTGAGGTCACCCAGCCCCAGCGTTCGGTACTGTCCACGCTGCGGCTCCGTGACCTGCCTTCGGGGTTTCTAGGGGCTGCAAACTCAGTGTTTGCACTGTTTATACATATATATGTGTGTGTGTGTGTGTGTGTGTGTGTGTACAATTTAAATAGTATATATAATGTATACTTATATACATTCTGTAGTGCACTCTCTTGTATACTATCGAGTGCGCATACAATACTTACACAGTGCATTTATGAATCTATATAAATGGAGCCACTTCAAAATGCAGTCGGAGCTGCCACCCCAGAGGAGCCACCTCGCCCGTCATCTGCCTCCAACTCCGGGCGTTAAAACGGGCTGAGTGACCTCTGGGCGCCCACGGCAGCAGCACCCCAAAGAGCCATTTGCCAGGGTCTCAAGAGAGCCGTCACCGTGACTGCCAGGCTGCAAAGGAAAATGTTGTTTGGAATGAGTGTCCCGAAGTTTCTGTGGAGCTCACGGTCCCCTCCCGTCCCCTGAATACACCCCCCCGCCCCGCCCCGGTCTCCTAATCCGGACAGACGCCACTGGGTTTCTGCCTGCTCAGATCCGTGCTTTCAGAATAGCTTTTTTTTTTTTAAATCTCAAATACATTCTTGTTGCTGTTCACGTTGGCCTTTTATTTTCAGGTTAACGGTTGTTTTGCTTTAAGTAGATTTGCCACAAAGGAATTCAGTCAGTCAGGGGGCTGGAGCTCAGGAACTCCTCCGAGGCCAGTCTGCAGCCCGTGGGGGGTCAGCAGGGCAAACCTCACTTTCCTGCCCCAGAGCCCAGGCCCTTGGGCCCTCCCTGTCCCGCTCGTGGCTCTCTGGGGCAAGCGGCGGTCATCTCGCCCAGAGAGAGCTCAGTGTCCGGAGCAGGCCCTCAGGAGGCTGTGCAGGCCGGTCCCCACGTCCGCTCAGACCCCAGCAGCTTCCGACGACTCCCTACCTGCGTCCCCTGAAGCCAGACCAGGAGTCTCTCTGTGCCCAGGGGGCTTCCACTACCCCCACCCCCCGCCCCCCCGCCATTATGGAAACTCAGCATTTCCCTCCGGTGTGGCCAGAAAGTTCCCTCCCTGCGTCGGGTGGGTCCCTGCGTGAGCCGGCTCTGCACCAAGGAGCCGGTTGAGTGAGCAGGCCTGCGGCAGCGCCGGCAGAGGGCGGAGGGCAGGGTCTCCAGAAAGAAGTCAGTCAGCCTGCAGCCAGGGCCTGAGGACCAGTCTCACCCCCACCCCGCCACTGCCCCCACCCCCCCAAACGCTGACTGCGGGTGGCTCCCTTTCAGGTTCCTCAAGGGTTCTGCAACTCAGCACATCCTCACCACCGACTGTTCCACACACGTTACCGCGTTGCTCCAAGAGAGACTGGAAAACGTGGATGATAAATTTAAAAAGGTCACAAAGTCCTGTTCGGCACCCACACTCTCCAGGAACACAAAGTAACGGCCACTTGGGTTTGGGAGCGCCACCAAGCACTCTAAAGCGGATTAGAAGTGCCTTCTGCCCGGTCTCCAGGGGTCCGGGGCTGGCCCTCTGTTTCACTGCCCGGCTGAGTGTCCAGTGTCCGTCTCCCGGCAGCCCCCGAGGTCCGCGCGCAAAGGGGCTGTGTCTGACCCCACGCTGCGGCCCCACACCTGCAGCTGGGCCCGGCACGCAGCAGCAGCAGCAGCAGCAGCTGGGGAGGACGGTCGGGAAGGCCGTGGCACCGCGTGAACCGACACGGCACGAGGTGTCGGGGACAGGCAGGACGCCACATCCCGTGTGTGTTTTCTGAAAGGGCACAAGGGCTCGGGCGGAGGGGCTGCGCGAGTGTGAGGCCGTAACGCTCTGCCCACCTCCGCCTCTTCGCCCTGGGCCTGCCCTAAAGCCGTTTACTGTTCCAGGCAGCTCGGGCAGCGCCTCGAAGTCCTGGGCCCGGGCTCCCGTCTCAGGCGGCTCCCGGCCCCCTCCAGCCTCGCTCCCTGGGGCGAAGGGGGGGCGTGACGCGTCTCGGTCTTCGCCAGAAGGGAGGAGCCGCCGGGTGGGGCTGAGCCGGGTACCGAGAGGTCAGCCCCCGGGCACCCCGGGCACCCCGGCACGGGTATTTCTGACTCTGGGCTTGTGACTAATTCCGGGCTTCCTGGTCGTCTGCCCGACCCCGGGGCTCCTGCTCAGGGCAGTGTGGGAACGCAGGCTGGCGGTTATGAGTGATCTGGGGAGCTCAGGGGCTGGTAGGCTGGCAGGGCTGCACTGGTGATATGACTCAGCCCTCACTCCGGGGGGCAGCGAGGGCTCCGGACGCCAGGCAGGTCCGAGGGTCTGCACTGCTCCTGCAGGAGGCCCCTGAGCACCCTGCGCCCCCACCGGGCCCCCAGCCTCAGTGATGGGGAGCCCCCCGCCCAGCAGGAGCCCGGGGAACGGCCGGGAGGGAGGGGGGAGGAAGCAAAGGTGCGAACCCGCCCCCCTCCTCACTCTCCTCGGAGCCAGAAAGTGTTTACTCAGCGCCTGCTCCCGCCTCCCGAGAGCCAGCTGGCCGGGGGGGCGGTGCAGGGGGAGGAAGCCCATTTCGTCCGTCCATCCGTCCGAGGACCCCAGGACCAGAGACACGGGAAGGCGCCTGCTCCCGGTCAGGAGCAGCCCCACGTGCAGCCCCACGGGCAGCGCCCCCCACGTGTTCAGAAAGCACACCCAGGCGGCCCAGCCGTTCTCACGCCCCCGCGGGAAGCAGGGCCGGCAGCCCCTCTACTGCGTGGAGGTGGGTCGGCCAGAGTGGTCCCCCCCCACCCCCGCAGCGGGGCAGGAAGTGAGCCCCAGACGGGGGCTGCGGGCGTCTGGGGGGAGGCTGTGGTCCGCCCCCCCCGGGCCGCGCCAGACGCCGGCCGCCTGATCTCACTCAGCTGCTCTGGAAATGACTGTGCCACGTCGAGGTGCCTGCTCCCGGTCCCCCCTCTCGTGTGACGCTCTGTTTACCCCAGACGCCTCAGAAAAGCAGGCCGTGCCTCGGGCTGTGCCCATGCGCCCAAAGCCACAGCGCGGGGTGGGCCACAAGCCCCCCCAGTTCTTTGCATCTTCTGAACCAGGTCTCACACTTTGTATGCCCTGCAGCGCCAGATTTTCCCAGGGCTCGGTCGCTAAAACTATGATTCCCACAAGGAGAGAAGGGGTTTAATACTAAGAGCAAAATAACCAGGGCCCTCCAAGAATCTCCTTTACTTTTTTTGTGGACCTTTTCTTCTTTCCAACCTTTCTCTACCGTGTTCCCGACCTGCGTCACTGGGACCACGAGGTAGGTCTGTGTTTTCAATTGCAGAGCCTCTTACAAGCATTTTCCTGCGCCGCGATGCAGGCGTGTGCACAGCCCCTTTGCAGGCTTGGGGGGGGGGGACACCGAAAGGGCCCGCCCCCTGAGATCGGACCTTCCATTTGCTCAGGGCCCCCTTCCCATCCGGCCCCTGCCCTCGGTGGGTTTTCAGCGTCTGTTCCGAACCCAGCGCGTCTCAGCAGCGTTTACGGTGACTTCAGAGCCCAGCGCGCTGGCTGTGAGACCCCGCGGGACCGGCAGCTGCTCGCTGTCCTTGTGACCTGGCGGGTCACGCCCCGTTTCCACTTCGAATCCCACCTGTGAGAGGGGGCGCAGGCCCCCGCGCACGGAGCAGGCGGGACATGTTCGCGAGGGGGGGGGGGTGCGGCGCGCAGGGCTCGCGGCCCGGCCCCGCCCCGGGTGTTCGCTGGGGTTGCCGGGAGCTGGGGAGAGGGCGCACGTGACTGGTGACGCAGGACTGGGTTCCGCGGGGGCTCGGACTCCTCGCCGCGGGTCCGCTTGGCACTCGCCGCAGGCCCGTGAGTCTGGGAGCCCCCCGCGGGCGACACGGGAGACTCGGCCCTCCCCCTCCCCTGGGACGGCCGTCTCCGGTGGAGTCTCCGCCCCCCACGGAAGGGGGCAGCGTGGGCTTCCCGGCGTCGGAGAAGGAAAGACAAGCGGGCGTGGGGACCTCCGATCTTCAGTGAAACGGGCGTTTGTCTTTCCTGGTTCTGCTCCCCACAGCCTGAACGTCTTACAGGGAGTTCTGTGCTGCGTGCCAGCTGCTCGCTGGCTGACAGAGACGGGGTCGGCCCCGTGACCGCCAGGGAAAGCCTGCGAGTACACCCAGCACGCCGTCTCCCTGGGCCGAGAGAGCCCGGGGCGGTCCCCCAAACGCGTGGGACTGAGGGCCTTCACCCCAGATGAACGGGGGGCCCCTCCCCGGCCCACCAGCCCAGTGACTCCACATTCTCTCGAGCGGGGGCCCAGCCTGCTCCCCTTTGCCTCCCTCGCTGCGTTTCAGCAAGACTGAGGAGGTTTATAAGCTGCACCCGTGTGAAGACCAGAGGCGTATATGCGCCCATTACACAGAAGGTGACCCGAGCAAAAGAATCCCCGTGCACAAAAGACAACCCCGCCACACCACCCGGTACCACCGACAAGCCACCCGCGGGCGACCCAGGGGAGGCCCAGAGCGCTCAGCCTGCTGCCCATGCGCTCCCCCACGCCGTCCCCGGAAAAGCCCGTTTCCCTGCACTCAGGGTCCGACGGCCGTCGGGCAGGCCGGCAGGCCGCCCAGGGCTCCCCGGGGTGCTGCACGCACAGGGGAGTTACTTTAAAATAGGAGTAATCGACACGGCTGTCTTCGGGGAGGGGGTGTTTCTTCGACCACAGTCTGAGTTTGGAAGACA